CGAAATCCGAGTCTGGAACGTGGAACAACTCTGTTGGGATCACGCTTGGAGTCTCGGCAACCTTTAAAGCCGGGGTACCCTTCATCGCCAGCGTCGAGTGGAACGTCTCTGTTTCTGCCGAGTACAGTCATGAGTGGGGTGGGTCTGTTGGAGTCGAGAAGACGGTGTCTGAGTCGACCAGTGTTACTGTACCCCCGCACAAGAAGGCGCAAGCTAAAGTCATTGTGAGAAATGCATTCCTTGACGTTGGGTTTTCGTACAAGGAGAGGGTGTTGTACACGAATGGGCAGACAGAGGACCTTCAGAAGCAAGGGGTGTATAAGAATGTGGACTCATACCACGTCGACGTCGAGCTCACCAACTGGGAGCCCACTGACTGATACCTAATCGGTGAGCCGTTTCCTCCCCTGGATCATCCGTCCAGTGCTCAGTTCATCTTCGATTATGCAGATAGCATCAGGCAATGCGCCTTGCCACATGCGAATACATCTTGAATGGTTTTGTGCACTTGAAATGAATTGATTGTACAATAGGTGTATCACAATCGAATGAGTCGTTCTGAGGAGTACCCTCATTGGCTGAAACTTGTGATTGAGATTGTCACTCAGTCGTCCTAGTAAGATATACGAACTTCTTGCCGCTTCCAGCCCGAGTATGCGTGTGCTGGAAATGCACAGACATGGACGTGAGATAATATCACCGAGTTGAGCTCAAAGCGTTTGGATTGTGGAGACAAGCAAGACAGACGGAACTCGTAGAATAAGTGTAGTGACTTATTGGCGGTCCTGATATTACTGCTCACCACGAAGTGACGATCAGAGGCGATGTGGCAAATTAAATCAGAGACTGCTCCGAATCTGGTGGATTCGGTTGGACGATGCCGTATGCAGCAATTCCGAGTCTGCGTCTTTTGTAGGTCGATTAAGAGTCGTCGTTAGATCTATTATCTCCCTCTAACATCCATTGATGTGCGATCTTTTTGACGACCGCCAAAATAGCACCAACAGACTCGTATCTTGTCTAGCAGCAACTCGACCAGAGACATGTCATTAAACTCCCGACCGACTTGCTGCCTACATGGATAGATGAATGTTCAATGACTGCAACAAGTTATGCCACGGCGATGAACCACATTTCAATGATGATCATGCAAATGCACTAGACAAGCCTCTCCAGTTAGGATCGCTCGATGGTCCATCGCATGAGATCGACAACTTAGCAGTATTGGGCTTCAACCCAAACCTGCATGAGTTATGGATGTAATGAGTACTTGCACTTAGACTCACTGCAGCGATTTCGTTAGATATGGCTCGTAAGCCCCCTCCCAAAAATGATGTATATATGCGTCTTCGCTATCTTCAATTTCTACTTCGCTTTCTCGATGAGACCGATCTGCTCCCGCAGAAGCCTCAGCATTCTCTCCGCATATGTAACCGTGTCGGTGTCAGCGCGATTATAACGCATGATCTCCAATACCAGCTCGAGCAACGCAACTGACTGTTTCATTTGACCGACGAAGTTCGCGGACCGGTCCAGGTCCAAATTGGCGTATTGCTTGATCAACTGCCCGACATTCGCAATCGCATTCGCCAATGCCGCGTTCGAATCCGTAATACACTTGTTCAACTGCATTATCTCCCTCTCCTGCTTCTCCTTCTCCTCTGTTGCCGCTTCGTACTTCTTCTTTGCGTCCTCGTCGACAGTGACCTGTTCGTCCTCCCTGGATACCCATTTGACGTTATAGAGGCGGTGCTCCATGTACGAATGTCCACATTTAACGCAGTATTGGCTCTCCCACCGAAAGGCACTGCATTGGCGAGTGGACGTCGGATCTAATGAGAAACCAGTAGAACAATCACAGTTCTCGTGACAATTGTGGTAGCACATTGGCGCAGAGCATAGTGTATTTCGATGCGGCGTGTTGACAAACTCATACACTTTCGTGACTTTCGTGGTTTTGTGATTTGCGTATTGCTTTATCGTCTAGTATAAATCGCCAGTGAGACAGCAAGAATTCAAAGCAATGGAATTCGCACCAATGTGGCGTCACTAACAGATTTCTGAATCTTCTCTAACTTGGCCTTATGACGAGCCGTCTGTTGTATAGTCACGATAGCGCCAGAGACCACGCGTTCAATATCCTAGAATCGCGCGCATAATGATAAGACTGGAACGACACAAGTATCTGAGGTGAGCAGCTTACACCACCAGTCAAAACGTCCACATCCAGATCAGCCGGTACAATCTGTCGGAAAAGTGTAAGCCTCAGAAGCGCCGAGGGTATAGTACGTCATACTATCATACTTTCCAAATATTCCGAGGATCCATAGAAAAGTGCTGGAGCTCTACCTATTTGATATATTGTCAGTTGTGCTAGCTAGACGCATTAGACAAACTTACCGGAGTCATATGCGACCCGTCACTAAGATGCCAGCAGAGCTCTCTTTTCTCATTATGTCGGATACTACTGGCGAAAACTGTTAACCATGGCTTAGCTGAAATCATGAAGCATACAAGTAAGCATCTGGCCCGAATTTTTCCGCGGGCTGTATAAACCACCAATATTTGTTATCGGATCCAACTACTATCTGCTGTCCTGTCTGGTGTGAGGGACGAGCAATTGTCATGTACTTGAAGCCCATATTCTTTATCTCATAGCGATCGGCATAGCCAGGCGTAAGTTTCCACTGGATATCAATATGAAGGTCGGTATGATAATATCTAATCCACCAAAATAGATCGCACCAGTTCTGCTTTTTGTACTTCAGGTGAAGGAATGACACAGAATAATGGCTCTGCATCGCTATCATTCTCAGCCATCACCCTGTTTCGATGAAAAACATTCGTTATTGTTGCCACGCTAGCTAACTTGGTGTCCATTTGAGAACACGAGCAGCCTAAGTGGTTCGCATAAACTCAAATGAATCACGTAGACGTTAGTACAGTATAGATACAGAGACTGGCGTGTTGACTGCTCACAAAAGGACACAGATGCGGGCGCCGCGTGTGTAGTTGGAGAGTGTGGAGAAAGAAAGAAACCGCGAACGTTGACCTAGTCCTAAGCAAAAGGTCATGAGACACTGCCATGTTCAAGGCAAGTACCATACTACGTGTCAAGATTCACCCACGATAGGAAACTATTGTTGGCTGGATGAAGTGGATTATACAATCTGTGGACAGCAAGAGCAAGCACATGGCAAGCACATGATATTCAGATCCAGCCTGACTATGTGTGCGCCGGCGCAGCCATGATTGTGGGATAATATCCGAGTGAACTCAACGCAAAGTATGATATTGATCACTAGCTTGTGGAAGCAAGCAGGATCGTTCTTGTAGAATAAGCGTGGTAACCAGAGGCGGCGATGTCTAATCCGAGTCAACTATTTCCACCAAACTACATGGATGTAGATGCGGTACTCAGAGATGGCACCGTTCCACAGCCGATAGCGCGGTCGTCATGACGATAGGCATCATTGGGGGATAGCAAGCTAAACCAGCCTTGAATATGGCGAGATCAGGGTCATCCGAATCGACTACAAGCGTATGTTGCGCGTCCATTGACGGCTGCGATTCCACCTTCTGGGATACAAGATGCACAGAGATCTTCTTGCGGACTGCCGACGATGGCCGCACAAACTTGTCGAATGCGTCTATAATCTCTTGCAAGGCCAACGTCCTGATGATCCCAGCATCTCGCTCGTCTGCGCAAATATTGAGCAAAACGCCCAAACAGAAATCACAAAAACTACGTACGTTGCAGGAAATCATAAGACCCCTTACTGATATGCCCCCAAAAGCGACCTGTTTCTTCGCTAAGGTTCTTCAGCTTCTCAAGTTTCTTCACAATCAGGCCCTCCTTGTTGTCCTCCAGCTCTTTCACGGGCATCTTTGCCAGGATATCGCGGAAATCATTTAAAAATGCGTCCACGCGAGATTCAACGTCCCATGGCGTTCGCATACTCTGAATCTTGATGCTCAAACCCATGGAACTTGCCACTCGCCATACGGAGCTGGTCACGACGTATCTGTGAATAGCGTCAGTGACGCAGGCTAACATAACAAAAATGAGATGTCTACCCCAACTGCTCCCGCGTCCGGAGGTGAGTATATGTTGGTTCGCGAATCATATGCCCAATCAGCTCCAGCACAGGTCGTAGCCTCGAATAACCAGCAGCGATATCACCAAACTGACAATAATACGAAAGGCTCGAATTGCCTTCCTGTTGGTTGGTATGTGCTTTCTGCCAGACGACATTGGACCCTGTTGCACACATTCATTAGTAAGAAAATTTGCCGTTTGCACAATACGCACCCTCAGGAAGAGACAGAGAACGATCACGGGGACGTTCGTTCCATGTTAGGGGGCGTGCCTGTATACATTGTTCCGCCGTTTCAATCAGGCTGATTGCTTTCTACAATATATCAAACTATCATCTACACGCTTCTCATTTCACGAGCATGAGCATGACGTACGTCTTTTGTGATGTTCCCGTTGACCAAGGATTCGACATAAACTCTAGAGAGGAGTTCGTCCCTGTGGCGTTCAACATCTTCTACAGAGATGTCTATGCCAGAATTACAATGAAAACATCGATCAGGTATTGGCATGGTGTACATACATGGAAGTTCTGCAAGTTTGTCGGCAGGGGTCCAAACCGTCGGCGTTATAGACCAAGTCGCAAACTCTTCAGATAGGCTAGAGGGTTGACCGAGGTAGAAATTCTCATAGCCACGTCTAACCTGTCCACAGGATAAGCGTGATAAAAAACGATCCAGAAAAAACTCTTGACACTTGCCTGCTCAGAAATCACCCTCAATCTCTCCGAATCAATCACCAGATGTTTCAGCTTGCTGAGAATTGTGTGTAGTAGCGCGGGAAGTTTATCGCTGTATCCACCTACGGCTATTAGGAGACCTTTTCGATGATTGGAAAGGGAGTAAGCGAGGCCCGCTAGCTCGGCAGCATATGTGACTTCGGATAACGCATCCTCGACAAGATCTGCCAATAACCTGGAGAACGGACATGAGTATTTTACGACGTGAATGCAAGGGAAAACCCACCGAGTCAAGACTGCTTGCCTGGGGGTTCCGTACGCTAGCGGACTATTCCGAGGACATTCGCAAATCAGCAGAATTTCAGCAATATAATTGGGAGAACGGACCTCCTGATGTCAATTCTGACAGAGGCTTTGGGTACCCAGAATTGGTCGTCCTTCTTATGCCACAAAGTTGATAAGGCGGTGCGTCGAATACAGGTTGGAGCCTTCTCTGCCTAAACAAGGAATCAGTATTGATGGGTGCTGTGCCATACTAAGGGGAGTAACAAAAAACCTCGGCAACAAATATTTTGTCGATTGCAAGGTCCGTGGGAATGTAGGGATTGGGTTCAGGTAAGAACAATTCGACGTTCTGGTTTCCTTGATGAGCCTAGGATAGTATTAACATCGAATGCACACGCTAGAATACTTCAAGCGGGGATACCGACCTTCTCAATCAAGGCCGCATCCAGCCTGCGTACGCAATACTGGCCACCATGCCACTTCTCTGTGAGCCACATCGTATCCAGTCCCACAAAGCGTTCTTCGTGGTCGCGAGCTTCAAGAGTGACACGAACATTCTCGGGCACCATGTTGCCTAGAAGCTCTCGCACAAGGTCTTCGTCCCATTCAGTGACAAGCTGGGCACCGCTCAGGATCTCTTGGAGCGGATAAGGCTCGGATAGCTGATACGACAGCCAGTTAGTGTATGTATGCGGCTGTGTCTTCTCCTGGAAGCGGAAGTGTGTTTCAGACATGTTACTGATCTCTGAAAAGTGGTATTCATCTATGGGAGAAGAACGTAGGAGAGAAAAGTAGTTGTAAATAGCGAGAAGAACGTCTTGATAATTCTCTAGACCATGACAAGACGATTAATATATTATTGAACAGGATAGGGAAAAAGAAAAAATTACCGTATCCTTCTTTCGTGAGTTTTGAGGTCAGCTGGAAGTGTTGCACGCTCGGATTGCGAGACCTGATGCCAGCGCTCAGGCTTACGAGCCAGCCTTTGCGCTTCAGGAAAGCGCATACACTTCCAGGCCCTTCGTGACCCAGGAAGTGCGCTATGATACGTGCTGGCTGACTCTTGTAGTGCGGTCGCTGATCCGGAAGCAAAAAGCTAACAGTTAAACCGTAGTAGTCTTTTATAGTCTTAATGAAAATGATAGACTGTCGAAACCTCTGTCAGTGGATCCTGCATTGTCACCTAGAAATAAATGACCTCTGACCCCTAGCTCGGACGGACCCCACACAGGCTGGGTAAAGACGGGACGTGGATCCAGTCCCCTGTTCAGAATGGGTGTGTACAACGATACGACTGTGTCAGTAAGATCATCTAGAGAGTCTGCAGTTCATGTAAGTATACGAGCTTGGCATTTACTTTCGAGAACTGACCTTTTCCGACGACAGCCAGTGTCAGGCGACTTGCACAGTATTGAGTTCTCCACCATTCGACGAGTCGCTCTCGCGTCGCTTTCCACACGACCTCGTCCTTTGAATCGACGCCGGCACTGGTCTCGGATGATTTCCTATCTAGACCCAACCTCGTTGCGCTCTCCGTGATACTCTCGACATTTCCTGTGCCAAACTGAGAGTATGGATGAGTATGGAGGCTAAGAGTCCTGTTTATCTGAAGAATCCGACGCTCATCCTTCTGGACGTTCCGTTTAAATTCTGAGTCAACTGCATATATCTCACGCTTCGTTAAGGACTCGGTGAAGAGGGGCGACTGGAAGAACGCGGCCGAACGTGCCAGCGCGCCAGACAGGAATGAAGACCCGATAGAGAACCAATAATTCGCGAAAGATGGTGCTGTTGCAGCATTGCACACGCCGCCGTTGGATGTAACATACTAGTTAATAAGTTATTGTGACGTGTAAATGAACCTTCATGATTCGTAAATCTCACGGATAGGTAAGCATTCTCGTCTGGGAATGCTTGCGATCCCTATATAAATGATCAGCCGCTCATGAGGTGTAGGATTGACGGATGGAGTACCTTGGTGATCATATGCTCACAAAAATGTGCCAGTCCTTGTGCATCTCCCTAGAGCAGTTCGAGCAGCGAGAAGCCGCGAAGTTCGATATCATATAGCTGACTCGAGAGCTATTCGATAGGAACGTACTGGATCGTGCATCGAGCCGACTTGGGTTGTCATGCATGCTGCCGCCTTATCTGCGGCAATATCGTGCACTAAAATCGCGCGAAGGCCATTCTGCAGTTCGATGAGCCTGTAATCTCTGTCGTCGAGATCAGGCTTGCGCAGGGGACCTGTGAAGAGAGAAAACGAGGGCCTGTCGCCTTCTGAGGGTATTTGCGTCCATTCTTTATCGTTCATAACAAATGAAGCAGGATTGTTGAAGATGAACCACTGGATGGGTTTCGATTGCTTGTACTTATAAAGTGAGGACCCGGGCAACTCCCTTAGATGTTCGATCCCCGATACTTGGCATTTGTTGTGCCCGAAAGTCGGTGATTTCCTTGTCCCACTTTGCATTTTTTACCACACGATTGTGACGCTAGCGCCCCAAACCGTGTCCGTAATTGCATCTTTTTGAGGCCTGCACGCTGCCTCCTGATGGGCTAAGAGCCTACCGCTATCCACTCACTGACGCTGTGGAACGAGCAGGCCACGGAATTGGTGCTTGGACCACTATTGTTCACGTAGATTGTGTTTCAGTAGCCACTAGATGCGTTCGGCGACCTTCGTCTCGTCTCATTCTGCCCGAAGCAACAGCATCATTACGAATTCTTCCCTGAGCCATGACTTCAAGGTGCGTCAAATCCGTGGCATATACCTACTCTTGGGACATGCTAGTGACGGCAACCTAGCAGGATCACTTGTAAATCATGTTTGTGCAGCGGTAAGTATCCAGAGGTCGATAGCTCATGCCGACTTACCCAGAGCACTACATCGTACAGGGTGGAATACCCGCATTGCTCTCTAGACCATGATGGGTAATTCCGATGTGTGGTGAACAGTTTCCTCATTGAGTACTGTTCAACCAGCAACCGTTCCATCTTAAGGCTTTGTTCGCGCCGTCTCGCACAATCTCGCAGTCTGGTACTTGATACTTCTTGACTCACTCCTCAGTCTAGGATAGGATTGTCTTGAAGAATGCGCGACTCTGCTGTAGTCTACTCTGCTTCCCTCAGTGCGCTCCAAAATACTACAGTAGATATCGCCGTTTCCGCTACACCGTGCAAATTTCGACTGATAGATTGCACTCGATTCCTCGATCACGATACCCTCACGATTCATGAATTCCCATATCTTCCCACTTACGAATACGCGACCATATCCTATGTCTGGAGAGGACTCGGAGTTGACCCAAACAACACCAGCGGTGCAAGCTACGGCACATTCACTATCAAAGGTGCTACGAATGGTGATCCGATCAGTATCGACGTCCTCAGACACGCGTGCGTCGCTGCGGTCCAGGGGAACGCGAAATTTATCTGGTTGGATGGTCTCTGCATCCTACAAAGCGATGCCTACGACAAAGCCTGGCAAATTCGCAGGATGTATCACATCTACCGATCTTCGGCACTATGCATAGTTCTCCCTGGTGGAATGCGGCGGCTAGCGAGGGTAGATGAAGAAACGACGTGGATTCGGCGGTCGTGGACCCTCCAGGAGGTTCTAGCACCGAAAATGGCGAGGGTCTTGTTCGCTTGGACATATGGCAAAATCCTATTCACAGCAACTGTTGACTCGCGATTCAACTACGAAGAAGTCATTCCAGGTCAATCAGCTGCATGTTCCCTTGAGGACGCTCTCTCGGCAAATAGCGGAAGTTATCTTGAGCTGGAGGCAGAACGTAAATATTTCGAGTGTTTCTCGATAACGCTATTCGGCCGAGAGAAGTCGTATGTCAGCACACTTCTCGCTGTATTGAATGGTGGGGGGCTGGAGAATGCGGGTAGCATACAGGCCGCGTGGCAATGCTCACTGATACGCACATGCACCTATCCCGTCGATGCTGTGTTCAGCATCATGGGTCTCTTTGGAGTACACCTCGATCCACTCCATTTCAAACCGGACGACAGGCGAGGGGCAACTATCGCCCTCGCTGCAGAGATATTAAGAAATGGAGGAAGGGCAGACTGGCTCGCTGCTGCCCTCGATCTTCCTCCGGAGAGAGGGGTTTCAGCGCTTCCAGCGCTTCCTCGCATTAATCCGATAGGGGACGCGACACTGGTCACTGAAAAAGGAGAGCGACCTGTAGCGGACATCTTGCCATGGGTTGGGTTGGGTTGGGTAGATGGCATTCCGTCAGGAAAAATGGACGACAAGGGACGCTTCATATTTTCCAGCCCTGCAGCTCCTCTAACTCCGATAGGCCGCCGAAAATCTGGTCGCATAGAAAACGATAGAAAGACTATGTATGACGACACTGGGAAACTGCAGGTCATCGCAACCAATGGTACCATCTGGAGGATACACATTGGTGCCGACAAAACTCACCGAAAAACTCGTCGGTCTTTCATCGCCTTCATTGGCACTCTCACACATTATACTTCTGCTGTTTTTGGCGACTTTTTCGATCCTCATCCGCATAGAGCAATTCTCGTCGAGGAACATGAGGATGGCAAGTTCCACAGAACATCTTCGTTTATCCTCGGCATGGAATTTGCACCCTATATTGAACGCTGCAAGTTGTATGAGATCTGCCTTGCAGGGCTAGCCTGATCGCCCGCAATGTTTTTCATGTAGTATACCTATCACATCTGAGGTTCCTTTACTGACTTTGGTGGTTTCATGGGTTGCCGTCAGTATGTACCGTCTATGTAGGAATGATTATGTCGATGTACTGACCGATAGTCTACCTTCGGGGTATCTCTTGTCAATTGGCTGGGCAGCTGCAAAGCGTTAAAACGATCGAGTTATCCGAGGAGGCAAGCTAAAGTGTAAATCTGAAAAGCAGAATAATTGCTGATTGGCAAGGGGCGGATGATAATATTCAAATTTAGTTGCTATGGAGTCAGGATTTCTAACCGGCATCCGAAGAGTTTAAACAACTTATTGGTTGGTCCTCCCGGGCTGGTGACAAAAGAATAATCTCCAAAGATGCTGAGCACATTGTGGGGATGCGAGGAAGATGAATGGGAGCGGAAAAACACCACATGTTCGAAGTAAAACTCAAAACGGGACCAGTCAACTT